TTGAAGTGGACGAGGACCTCGAGGTAACGAGGAAACTGACGATGATCCTGAGGCGGGATGGCAGACTTTGGAAGGAGTTACCATGGAGTCAAAAATTCAGACTTCGCTTGATTCGGCAGGTTGTAGTAGACGGTAATAGATCATCCCATGGAGCATGATGGTGTTTGTCATGAAAACAGACTCTCTTTGTTTCCTATGCATCCACGATTGGGTCTCAGACAGCAATTTGTAATGCAGCTCATCGGATCAGCAAGAGGGGCCCTGTATGAATAGCATTCAGAGTTTGTCTCCAATGGATTATGATGGTCGACGATGTTCTTATTGATGCCAACGGTCCACTACTAACGCCACTCTCGCCCATACCAGAGAACGACAAGGTAGTACTCCACAATAGGGGGGATGTAGGCAGCTGTTGTGCAAGGTAAAGCATAAGCTCTTCCTAGAGCAAGAACAGCGATACAGCTGGAACAGCCAGAGTCGACATTGGAGCGAGTTCGTCAGGGCGTGGCGGGTACTCTAATGGGGGCACCATCACTGCACTTGGGGTCCTCAGGAGCGGTGCCCCGAGCCCAAGAGCTCCGAGGCCTTCCGTCAATGGATGGACGATACTAAGAAGTGTTACCAAATCCTCTGTGCTGGATGGGAACGTCGGGAAAGCGAAGCCTCTGGCTTTGCTGTGGACATCTGGTGAGGAGGGGCCTCGATGGGCATCATCACTGATGCCTTTCCCATTGTAGTCTACCAGCCGAGCTCAGTGTCAGCTCTAGCAGACCCGCGAACATCGTCACGACTTCCACTGAGGTGCCCATGACATTTTGATGCTGTCGATGCTGCATGATGATCAGATCTCTCTACTCCGTATCTCAACTGACAGCCTCCCGGGTGGCTCGGCCTCGGATGCCTCTCCCATGCCAAGAGCGAGCGCGGCGAAATCGAGCGGATTGTATTCGTCACTCAGCGCGGAGTTCTTGGCCGATCTCGAGAGTCTAGTAAGAGCCCACGGCTGACAGCCTGAGGATGATGCTGGCATGCAGGCGGATTCCATCCACAGTGGATTCCGTCCATCCGACTGGCCCACCTCATCACCGTCCACGGAAGTCCCTGTAGCCTCACCAGACGGGGAGAACTACA